AGTCAGTGGGGAAGCCAGCAGGAAGTTGCAAGACCCAGGAACAGCTGGGTGGGGGAGGGAGGGAGGGAGAGCGTAAGTGGGAGAGTTGGTGAGGGGGTACAGGGGTACGCTGTGGGTCGGGTCTGCAAAGGCCTCAGAATTGCTTTGATTTTCAACCCCAGAGTCGAGGGGCTTCTGAAGCCTCTCCACTCTGGCTGAAAATCCTGCTTGGATTTCAGCACGGAGCTTTTTCAGCCAGCCCTCAGAGATGAGAGGGAGTCCTCTTGGCAGGCAGCAGGGGCTTGCAACTGCCAAGTGCCCTGTGATCACTATTTTCAATCTTCTCTGCCAGCTTCCCCAGAAAGTCAGTGGGGAAGCCAGCAGGGAAGGTCACAGGCTACTGCTGAGAGGACTTCCTCTCAATTGGGGGCTGGTTAAAAAAGCTCCGTGCCAAAATCCTGCTTGGATTTTGGCATGGAGCTTTTTCAGCCAGCCCCCAGGAACTAGAGAGAGCAGTGGGAAGAAGGGGGAAAAAAAGGCTGCTTTCAGCTCTCTTTCCCTTCTTCCCAGCGCAAAGCCAGCCCCATAGGGCCCAGCAGCTAGGCCAGGTATGCCTCGTCAGCAGCAGGAGCAAGACAGAAGTGAAGGTTAGCTGGGGTGACAGAGCGCAGGGCGGCAGGGGGCCAAAAGGGCAGATATGAGGGGTGAGATAGGTGGGTGGCGGGAGTTGAAGTGCCCCTGTGGTTTTAAGTGCGGGCAGCTACCAAGCACCTGAATTTTGATCATGTGGCTGTGGGGGCACTGCAATGGTCGTAATTTCGGGCACAGGTTGTAAATCCATTTTTTCAGTGCCATTGTAATTTCAAATGGTCGCTGAACAAATGGTTGTTAAGCAAGGACTACCTGTAGGATGAGAAAGAAGAAAGGGAAAGGGAGAAATAAAAGGAAACGCTAAAAGTGCAGGTATGGTATCCAAATATAAAATAATGGTCTGCTACTACAGTGAAACCACATTTACACAAGTGGGCATAAGCATAATATGTTGATAATATTCCAGGATTCCATTGTCAGAAGGGATTTTACCTCCAAGATTGCGCCATTTATTAGATGGACCCCAATCTTTATGACAGTAACATTACAGATGAAGTTTCCCGTAAAACGTTTCACTCCATTACACATACCAATATAGGGAAAGATATTGTGCAGTTAAACTTTGAGGCATTGCCTCCTACTTTTCCCAGGTATTGTTTTCTGAGAGCTGGAGAGATCTAACATTTCACTAGGTTCTAAGGGATAAACAAGCTTGGAACTCCCTCCAAGAGAGTAGACTGGCATGTGTGAACAAAGCCAGCAGTTAGCAGCATTTACCCAGATTGCATATTGTAACTATATTTTTAAAAAGGTAGTTCCTGCCACAATCAAAAACACACTAAGCAAAGTAGCAGACAGTGCTGTTATTTCTCATTTCTGCTGCTGATTACCCAGTTGCATGGCTGCAAGTTTTTCATTAGGTGGCTTAAGGCTTACACTAGCAGACGGAGCAGGTGCTTTCTTAAGATGAGATTGATTAACCCAGTGGGACAGGCCCTGGCTCTTGGCATCCATAGGTAGGTATTAATAGGTACTGTACTTGATATGGATCCTTCCACCTCAGACTCAGGAATGTCTTTGGTGTAGTGCAACAAGAATCCAGCCCACAGATTCAACTTGGAGTATTTCAACCCAAATGGTAATGCACAATTGCTATTGCTTGTTTTGGGCCTGAAAAACAGTGATCAAACCTTTTAAAGAGGATATCACAGATTCATTTTCCAGATGAGGATTACCCTTCTTTTGTGCCACATTTAATGATGTCTTCGTAGGCCTTCCTTTTATGATTTCATGAGGAATCAACCCTAATGACCATCTGGGTGTATTCCTCAAGATCATTAGAGCTGGAAGTAAAACATTTGGCCATGAGTATCCTGAGTGATTTTAACCAACCCATTCTTCAAGACTCCATTCAATATTTTTGACACACATAACATGTAGCTTTGGATAATCTTCCTCAATAAATAAATGAACAAGTATAATGATTTTGATACATTCATTTAATTGATTTTATCTACTTTTAGGACTTGTGTGGAAAATAGATCACATTTTAGGTCATATTTCTGCAGAAATTCAAAAGGGTTTGCAAACCTTTAAGCACCACTGTATATACCTGAAATGTTACATGTAATTTTATCCTGAATTTCCTGGGTCTGTATGAAGTGATGGAAAGAGCGAAGCTTCCCAGATCAGTAAATTTTCTTGGTATGTGAATGTGCATGTTCCACCAGCTAGATTTGGGATTTGGCACAAAGGATACCTAAGAGTACTGTACATGCCTCCATCATGCTTCTCATCACTAAACCTTTTAGCTAGCCTCCCCGATCAATCTCCATGCTCTAAATTCCTCCTCTTGCAGCAATTCTTCATTTGCTCTGCCTTTTCCCTGACGTCGTCCTACTGTCATTCCCTCAACCTCATACAAGGGGAAAAGACAGTGCACATACCTGAAATATCTTTGGGCTAAATCTCCAAAGGCAGAGCCTATGTAATACCAGCTTTAAGTTGGGGATATAATTTGATCCCACTCTTGATTCCTTTTTTACTTTTAACTTTCCCCTTAGTTTTCTTCATTCTTGCACTTACATAAACAGCTTCTCAGACTTCTAAAATGAGAATCCTTTCTTTGATATGCTTCTCCTTCCGACAGACCATAAGAATCATAGACTTCATTTTTCCCTCTAAGTATTTTTATGACCTCTAAGATGGAAGATTGTATCCATGTCCAAAGAATTGATTTTTGGAAATTACACTTCCGATTCTGACTTGGTCCAAGAATGCCATTTAAAGAGGTATTTAACAGACTGTTTTCCATGTTTATCAAGCATAAACTTTACTGGTCATTTTTCAGTTCTTTTCAACTGAACCCTTTTGGCCTATCTTGCCTCTCAACCTTATTCATTAACCTCATGCAGCCCACTGAGCACATTTTGCAGTCAGCCACCTTGCTTTTCAACTCTATCTGGCAGGCAGACTGGAACGTTAAACAGACAGCCAAGGTTGGAAGCAGTACTTAAAACACAGGGAATAAACTTTCACAAAATTCAACAAAGCAAATGCAGCCAGATTAAAGACAATTAAATAAATATTTTCCTATTCCAACATCTTGGAACTATGCTGGGTTCTCTGCTGAGCCAGTCTCCTTGGCTATTTCTAATCAGGTGTAGACAGGAGTATCTTGGACTGCTGTGAAAAAACTAAGAAAACTGCACACTTAATGCAGCAGCACCTGTCTCCAAAGTTCCACTCCTGATCCTTGGACTTCCTGTCCTGCCAACTATGCCAAGAAACTGTGGTGGAAATCTCCCCAAAATATTAGAGGTTCTAACAGTAAGTTTATTGGGCAATAAAAGTGCAGTGATTACTGGATTCCACCTACACTAAAGTTAGTTATGTGGCTTTCCTTATACTTTGGCCCACGTGACTAACTCACGTAGAGATAATGGGGTCTGGTCTATAGATTTTTCCAGAACATTAACTTATTCTCTGATCATAGGTCAAGCCTATGATATTTAAGCCTCAATTATTTTACAGAGTTCTAATGCACATAAAACTGAATGCCTATGTATAGGGAAAAGAACAAACTTCTTGAAAGAGTTAAATAAAAGTGTAACTAGCAAATTATTCATTCAATAAATAATTTATTCCCCTTTGAAAAAACATTGTATCCAACACACCCACAGAGAAAGAATCTACTTCCTCACCGATAACACATCAGGTGAAAAGGGAACATTTGTTTCTCCAATCCTAATATAGTACAGCCTTAAGCATTTGAAGCTTTTCTGCTTTCCTACATGATTCTACCCATCTCCTTTACTGTCAGGCTCAGTCCAAGAACAGCAAGGAAACAGTTCATCCAAAATCAGTTCTTTTATTGCTTATCTTGCCAGACTAAATCTATACTACTGCACCTAATGGATATACCCTGGGAGATTCTAGGGAGTAGCTATCCTGAACCTCTTACACTTCCCACACTCCAGTTCTAGCCTGTGTTGTCTTTTGTCTCCCTGCCCTTCCTGCAATGCACCTCCTCCTTCCTGATAACCTTGCTCCATATTGCAATCCACCACATCATCCCCCACTTCGTAGATACCTTCCATCAGTTACTGCCAATATGCTTGGAACTAATTCTTCCCAATGCCTCCAGCTATATTCACACAACATGCTACCCCATGGTTAATTCTGATTTATTGAACAAATTCAACTGCCTGGGTTTACATAACACAATCAAAACTAGCAACACTGGCTTGATTCACAAAACACACTAGCCTAAAATATGGTTGGCTAATTTGTGGCTCAGTGTATTATGTGAACCTTTAGACTCTTAAGTCACCTTTTTCT